GTGATTTTTTTTTTCTTTACTGCTATGATCCTAATTTCTGCTACAGACTGGGAATGATTCGCTTGCAATAAAATCAACTTTTAATTGCCTTCCGTTGCATCAGGAAAGTTGCTGCAGGTGGCAACAGTTAAAAAAAGAATCTCTTTTTCAAGGAGTTGTTGAACATTTTTGAGAAACTTGGCTTTTTTCCTTCATAGTAAGATTATTTTTAAGAAGAAAAAGGGCAAAGTATGTAGCACATTTTGTACGAAAGCACCTCTGTAGGGTACTGATTAACATGCTATGCTGTTTTTTGTCTAATTTTTTCAGGAGGTTCACAGTTTACCAACATTAACCCTCAACAAGGACACAAATAACTAATATATGTACCCTAATTACAAAATCCCTTAAGCATGTAAGGCTTTAGATTGGACTGTGCTGGGTTACAGGAATTGGCACTTAAAGATAAGGAGAGCCAGATAAATGAAAAATACACCTGCACTAATCTATTGTATACACAAGTGTTCGTGGGTTAAACAGCCAATGTAGTCTTTGCTTTCTTTGAGCGTGCATTCAAAATAATGAGGTGTGTGACTGCCTCACTCATGTTGATTTTCCAACAATATTCCAGATCCAGAACCCTTCCTGGATCGGCGGCAGCAGCGCTGCGTCTCCTGTGCCAGGCTGCGTTGTGCCCTGCGACACAGTGACTCCGTGCATGACACCTCACCCCCACTCTGCCAGCGGGGTGTCTGATTTTCTGGGAGTACCGAGTCCCGCAGGTCACGTGGGGCAGGCTCACATGGGCAGCCTGTTTGGAGGATCTCCTGGCATGGCTGGAGGCATCAACACTTACGATCTCAACATGGACCCCGACCGCAAGTCCTCCAGCATCGCCGCTTTGCGCATGAAAGCCAAAGAGCACAGTGCAGCCATATCTTGGGCCACATGATGTGTTGACACATGCTGGATGACGGGGGACCTTGTTGACCCCTGAAAAGTCTAAACAATCCCAGAATGGAGTAAGGGGTGGCACTAAAATCAAGGCAACAGTGGCTACCTTCAAAAATGCTGCAATCAAATTATGTGGGGAAAAAAAGAAAGAGATAAAGATTTGGCAAAATCGGCAGTGCCATGTTTTTGGTGGCACAGCAGTGAGTGCTGTGGAAGCCCAGTGAGAAGGTGAAGGTGTGCTGTATAACAGGAGTTGCAGTGTAGTGCTGAAGATAGGCAAATATATATATATATATATTAAAAAAAAGATGCTAGAAAAAAGTTCAATTAATCCAAAAAAAGAAGAAAAAAAAGAAAAGAAACATCCATGCACTTATTTGCTAACACAGACACAATTTCTATTTGTACAGAGCTTTTGGTATGTTTGTTTTGGTGCTGTTTTTATTCTGATCTTGTTATTTAAAATGTTCCCCTTTTTCCCTTTTTTGCGTCATTTAATTTTAAGTTTTGATTTCACAGCTAGTTTAAAAAGCATTCTGAAAAAAATCCCTTTAAAAAACCTCCATACATTTTACTCTTTGTCAGCATTAACTTAAGTCATGCCAGTGCTGAGATGACCATCAATACAAGCGTCACAGTAACCAAATCAGGGTATGTTTTCCAGTGACTGAAAACGTAGACAGGGCTCTTCCCTCTAACATTACAAAGTAAAACAGATGAAAAGTGGTTCTCTTGAGTATGGCCAAGGGTAAAAGATCCACCTGCTGCACTAACCCAGCCTGCTGATGCCCAGAGAGGAGGAGGAAATGGTGTATGGGAGTACGAGAGGGGCACAGCAGGCCTGCTGCTCTCAGGGTTGAAGAGCCTGGGAGCGCCAGCCTCCAAACAGATGCAGCTCTGTTTTCAGGAGAAAGACTCCAAGTGGACATAACTGTGCCCCTTGCATTTCTAGTCTCACAGGTCTCAGAAAGAGAAGTGCCTACCAGTCAAGCCAGACTGCCAGAAATAACACAGGAAGCAGCAGAAGCCTCTTTTGAAACAGAGCGGGCTACTGGGGATAACACCGTGTGTTGACGCTCTTAAGCACTGAATGGATGTCAGTATTCAGCAGCCTTTTCTGGACTTTAACAAGCCTGCATTTGGCTTTCAGTGCAGCGCTGCCATACATGTCATTGTTACTCTTCCTCTTCTTTTTTCTTTTTTTTACCATCATCAGATCTTTCAAAGTACTCCATCACCCTGATTAATGCATAGTGACCTCTGTGGTTCTGTTTAAGGTTTTGGCCCTGTGTTCCTCGTGCATACATGAAGATTCAAGTGTATTTGGACCAGAATGTGTTAAAGCTGAAGTAAAATCAGGGTCTCCTTTGCACTCGGTTGCAATGGGCCGTGACCTAGGACAACAAAAACTCTCAAATTGATTCTGTGTGAGTCCTCAGCTTAACTCCAAATATGTTTGGGTTGATGCCCCACTAAAGTGTGTACATCAGCTGGGTTCTGTAGTACTGAGTAAGCTCGGGTCTCTCTCTCGGATCCAGTTCACCTTAATTATTTGACGCTGTAGCATAAAACAAACTAAATGGCACAAAATCCACAGGTGCTTCGATGATCAGTCTGCCATCTACAGCGAGGTGACTGATGGGAATGAGGTTAAAACTGGCTGAAAGTTCTCTACAGCAGAACAAGGCAGGATAATTGTGTCCATCACAAAGTTGTGACATGGAGACGAGGATTAAAGCTACAAAACTTTGGTCCTAGCTTCATCCGTTTTTGACCATATTTATAAACGTTTTTTCCCCCGTCAGATACCAACATGACAGGCCCATGTCTTCCCTCTGCTTTCGTCTAGTTTACTTCTATCAGGACTTAAGCACTATTCCCTGTGTCTGTGTCCTTTGCCCCCACGAAAAGAAGTGTAAGATAGAGGTTGACCCAGCCAGATACCTCATACCTTGCCTGGGATATCATTCAAATTTTTAAGCATATTTAAAAAGCAAACTTCCATTTTTCCCTGGTAACAGCATCTTGCAGTGACAGAAATAGCCAATGAGCTTTTCAAGTGCAGCAAGATGAGGTAATACATGGCTTCCTTTGTTTGCAAAGCTTGATTTAGGCCTGAAGCATAACAAAGGGTTTCATGGTCTCAGAAAGCAAACCCGATACCTTGTGGTACCACCTCGAGGCAGAGCAACCATTGCTAATTCCCTAAACTAAACCACATTCCCTCTCCTCCTGGGTAGGTAGGTAAGAGAGGTGAGGTGCGGGCTACAACCTGTCAGCAGAGCAGATCGCCCTCAAGTTGTCCAAATCACCTCCAGTTTCACTCCTCTGTGCAAATGCGAGGCATGTGCATGCACAGAGGACATATCCCAGAAGTGAGAGGGTATCCTTGCGAATCTGAACATGGGGCCCCCTGTGCTCTAGCCTAGGGGTTGGACGGAGGGCGAGCTGTGAGGGTGTCTGCTGTGTTCCGGTGTTCTGGGAAAAGGACACTGCACACAGCTGCGCTCAGGGGGTAAATGCAAAACAAACATGCCTCACACATGCTTCCCCCTCAGCTGTCATGGCTCTGCTTTCAAAGATCTACTCCCCCCTCCCCAATCACACACATTGCACTGCGCCTCTCCCTTCGCTCACTCCCACTATGTCCACCAGCCCCAAGCCGCAGCCCCTCATCGCAGGGTCTGAGGCACAGCCACACAGGCAACTGAGGAAGGCTTTTTAATTAACACTGAGCCATGTGGAGGCTATGGACTGCAGTATTGTGTGTCAGGATGGACAGGACTGTCTGTCTTCTAGTTGGTCTAGCTGGATGCAGACATACTGGCAATGAGACGCTCAGGTTTACCGTTTTCTGTGCATTCATGAGAATCTCCAGTGAGGTCTTTAACATATGGAAACCAAAGATGGACAGTTTTTACCACTTTAAGTAATTTCCTACACTTACACAAAGCCTGTTAATGCAAGATTCAGCTTTATATTTAAAAAAAAATCTCTCTTGTATGCTGCACAACTCCAGCCTTGAGTGATAACGTCCCCCTTTCTCATTTTTCTAATACTACTGAAGTCAGGTAATCAGTATAGGAGTAAATATATGATAAATGCGTGCTGTTGTGTGCATGTACAGTGTTGTGCGTGCAGCTTGAAGTGTCATAAGACTCGTAAACATTTTACTAATTTGATGCCGTTTTATTTTGTGGGACAATTTATAAATATTTGAGTGTAAAACTTCTCTTAAACTTGGTGATGATCTGTTTGTATTCCTAGTGTTTGTGGACATTGTTTTCTCATCATGTTATTCTTTAATTTCCCCCTCCTACCAAGTTTGTGTGGCTTTAAGCTGTCTTTGGAAATGAGAGTATGAATTTACTCATGCTTGTGTGATTAAAATACCATAAGTTATTGTACTTTGATTTAGAGTCGCTGTGTTCTGAAATGCGTAACAGCCTTAATAAGGTGGAAGCAGCAAAACAGTAACTGCTCCCTGCAGCTTCTCAGCAGACCGAGACTTCCAGAAAACTCAAACGACTGCAGCCGCGGTACATCCTCCTATTAGCACTCGAAGATCGCTCAAGTCACTCCGAGTCTCAAGAGAAGTCTTTCAAGATGTCAGCTAAAGGCGCTGGTTGGCCAGAGAAGTGTCTGAGGCTGTTGAGAAAACCCATAAAATTTGCTCCGTCTTATTACTTCGCACCACCGTGCCAAAATATTGTGTCATCCCTGTAGTCACATTGTGAAATCCCCGTGCGTTTCAGGTCCTTTGAAGGGACAAGAGTGCTGAAATGAGATCGCGCAACCCACAAGACTATCACACTAATTGAAGCTGACAAAAATACGAACTGCACCCTTTTGAACCGCTGACATTGAACAGGGTGGATTAGGCAGCTATATTAACAACAGGTGACAGCCTGGAGGGAACAGTGGATCGGCCGTGTCACGGAGGGGCTGATCTGGACAGTCACAGATTACAGCGCGAGGCAGACGTTAAAGAGGAAAGTGTCTTTCCTCATCTTCTTTCCCACCTCTCTTGAACATCGAGGAAAATAAAAAACAAAACAAAACTGTGGTACATGGTTGTGCAGGGTTTTATTTGTATTACAAAGTCACATATATACAGTTAAATGCATAAACCCCAGTCGAAAAAATATGAAAACAACGGGAAAGGGAAATTTAAAACAAACAAACAAAACCATCTTAAAAGACCGCACTGCTCTCAGATTTGCTGCCTTAATGATGCAACTGGAGAAATTAGTGACAAAAAAGGTCAAAAAGTGAAACATACACAATAGGTTAGATTAAAAAAAACAAAACAGGAAAAACAAACAAACCGTTTATGTCTGTTTTGAAAAATGTGGATTTGTTAACCAGTCTTCTATTCTAATGTAGTGTTCATAGACAATTCATGAACTGACTTAGTAGATGCTTTAATAAGCATCACAGTTTTCTTACATTTCTACGCATAAATACAAAGAAAGGCTCGCTCAGGCGGTATAAAATTACAGTTGCAGTGAAATGCTCCAGTAGCTCGACATGCCTTTTTCCAAATCGCCTACTCACTCTAAATCTTAGATTTACGGTGCCAGCTTTTTCCCAAGGTCCGCTCTGACTGCATAAAGCACTGTACATCAAGAATAAAGTGTACACGGATGTGTCCTTGAATCGTTTTGATATTTATCGTGTTAACTTTAACATTTATTACTCTTTCTGTGTTGTACAGTTTTAAGAATAATGTCCGATGTCAGCTTTTTGGAAAGAAGGAAAAACATAGAAGAGAAAGTTTGTGTTGGAGAATCATAAATTATACAGCACTGCTGCAAAATACAAATATATACACTGTATACACTGAATCGAGAGTAGCTGGAGCCCAAAGCAACCAGCTCCAAAACGGTAACAGTGAGGGACCAAAAACCTGGAGTCAGTCGGCCTTGTCCGTCAAACGTCAGACTACTTCACAGCCACCTCAGATTTTGGTTTAACTCTGATTTAAAATATAAACCTGATGTCATTAAATTCAAGGTAAAAACAAAAATCACTTGAACTGAGAGGGGACATGAGCACATCCCGCTTCAGTCAGAAAACAGTGTTGGTTATGCGTGTTTGAGTGCTGAGGCTGTGATGGGGTCCAAACATCCTCTGCTGGCTGGTCAGAGGCTGCCGATGTTGGGGAAGCTCTTCAGCTTCTCTGGGAAGTCATCTTTATAGAGCACCGGGTCTGCGCGATGTTCCACCACTTTCAGAGGCATCGTCCCGAAAACTGAGGCAAACTTGTTGATGCACTCAGATCTACAGAGCGGGAGACATTTTATCAACAAGCATGATAAAACCATTCATATAGCATCTGACCCTTAATAGACTCAATACTGAGATTGGGTACATTAAGGTCACTTACATTATTTTGACATTTTATGCAATTGCTACATGAAGGTTTTTATAATGTTTGTTTTTGGACATTGGCTACTTTTTCACTTATTTTTAGTCTTTGTACAAAATTATTTTCTTGGTTTTTTTTAGACTGTTAGAAAACAAACAGTGCAATAAACACACTCTACTACTGATGTTCTGAAATTGCACCAAACTAAAATGATCTGAGGGAATTTCAGCTGCTCTTTTGTTGATCATTTGGAAAACAAATACCTCTCCACCATGTGTGTCTGATCCAGCGACAGTCCATCTATGGCAGTACATTCAGGGCACTTGAACTTCTTCCTTGGAGTCACCTAAACAGAAGCACAGTTACAGTCACACCAGTGATATTTGCTCACTTCAGGGTTTGTTAAGGCTCAGCATCCTAAACAGGAGCAGTTTGGTCAAATGAAGCAAGTCTTTGACATCCAAAGAGAACTTTTGTTGCAGACAGTGTGAAAAATTACTTTTTAATTCTTATCGGCAGGACATTTCCTTCCCTTGACTTTTGTCATGAACATGTGAACATTTGAATGTACGTGTGTAGAAGGAAGGGGAAGACAGATATTCTTGGTCAAAGAGGGTAAGTTAAGGAACCTGTTGGAGATGTTATGGGAGGTAGGACCAGAGGTGCAGGTGTAAGAAAGTGTGCAGAGTGTGCATAAGCCCTAGTGAGCTTAGAAAAACACACTGGGAGGGGGAGTGTCAGTGAGTGACTCCCAGATAAGGGAGGTTAAGGTCGGGCTTTAGCTCAGGGCCCCTGCACCTGGACAGAGTTGGGGGGAGGGGGAGAGGCTGTGATGTTGAAGGGTGAGAGCTGATCAGACCCAGAGATGCTGGTCTGCTGTGTCAGGCTACAGACTCCCCACGCAAACTTTTAACACCCAGACCAGACAGAGCCATGAACATACCTTTATGGGGGCTTTGCCAGTGATGTTGGCCACCAGGAAATTCATGGCAATATCTTCACAGTTCATGTGAGCATCCACCCAGTTCTTGATGTCTCCCGGCATCTTGTATGTGTACAAATAGTTGAAGTACTGAAAAGAAAGAAAAGAGCGGACAGTTTAACATAGTGAACCAGCATCATGTAAGGAGAACTATTGTTTTTCTAATTTCCTTTAAACTCAATGCACAAATGCCTTTCAAAGACTAGCTTTTTGCATTACTGTGAAGCAAAAGTACCATCAGTACCTTCAATACTTCGTTTACATCAATGCACTACTGATGCTGTGGTCTAATCTAAGATGAGCTTCACACATTTTCACTGACAAATTGCTAGTGTAGAAAATAGTTGCAGCAATACAAAAACATAGCAATGCTGGGACCACGAGGGCACAAATTCCAAAATTGACTTGCGACCCAAAGTCTATGCTTTATCATCTTCCCACAGAAATTACCCCAACTTTTGCTGAACTGTTACATACTTCTTGTGAAGTCTTAAACATGCTGAAACATGGGCTCATTTTTCCAACGAAAACAAACGCGACATGTATAAAAACGGCAAATTAAAGCTCAACTTGTTTTCAAGCAACCTGTCTCAGATCACCTTGTGGTAGAAGGCAGCTCCAGTTAGAACCATGGAGACCTCATTGGTCCACTCCGACTCATACTTCCACTTTCCCATTTCATGGTCCCAGAGGTGCAGCCGCCCGGGGTAGCCCACCAGCCTGTCTGGAAACTCCCTCCAAACCTGGAAAGAGCAGAAGAGAAGACAGATCGTCTAACACTCAGCTAACGCGAACAGAGATAAGAATTAAGGACTTGCATTAAAAAAATGAAATATTCAGAACAAATTTCAAATTGAAGTTTTAATCTTACATCCGTCGTGTCTGATGCTTTTCCAAAAACAATTACTCAAAGTCAAAAACTTGGAAAACAAAGAGAACGCTTTCAGAAAGAAACTGATTCATGACAAGCTGAATATTTCAACAGGCTGCTAGCTCAACACCAGCAGTCAATCTGACCTCCCTCTATAAGCAGAGTCACCAACAGTGAAACTCCTCCTCTATACGGCCTGTAATTCAGCGTAATTACCCTTTAACTGAGCATAATTTTATTAAATGGTTTTTAAATGGATTCAGGTGAGTGTGCATGGCTAAAAAGAGCTGGACAGGTATGTGAGTATGGAAAGCATCAGCTCCAGACCTGTTATTGTTCATCACACATCAAACACATTAAACAGGCCGTCAAATCCCCAACCACTAGAGAATAAACACTGTAATCTCACTCAATGACTTTAAACTCTGGGATCAACTTGAAGTGGTTCCCTGCAATACCTGCCATCAGGGAGATGACTGGAAAGTATGGCCAAGGTTAAATTCTTCTTTTGTTTTTCCTCACCTCGTAGCCAAACTGCAGTTCATCAGATGTTAGCATGATGATGTCATCATCGATCGCTAGCACAGCTTCGGTCTCGATCTCGTCATAGGGGAAGAAACGGTTGCTCAGTTTGTTCTCTTTGGTTCGCACGACTTTGAGTGGGACGCTGATCTTCGGCCAAAGAGTTTCTATCAATGGTGAAAAAACAAAACATTTTTATTTTATTTTTTTTAAACAGAAAGAAAAATTCCAAAATTGTACTTTTAAAGACAAACATTGCTGAGTTCACGTTATGTGATAATGAGTTGGCTATATTTGGTGTCACTGAATAATCAAATTAAATGACTGCAAATAAAAATGAGATGTATGTGGAAGACATTTAGGGGTTGAAAATGATTAGAAAAAAATCAGTGTGTGAAGATATCATTTACCCCTGAAAGAGGTTTTGAAATCTTTGCTGGCAGTGGAAAAATAGCGCTGTGGGAGCTTAACTTCCCTCACTGACTCATATCGCTATACTAACCTCAAGCACATGCAAATCTAACCACACTACGATTCTTCAGGAGGCAGACCAACAGGGGAGCATTTCAAAGATCTTGGGCAGTGTCCATGGCACGGACTATGGCACAGACAGATCACACAGAATGTGTTCCCCCATTAATGGAGTAACTGAGGCCTGGAAGCCCATGAGAGGAGCTCCAGGTCCTCCTAACCAAGTCTGAGGTCTCCTGTCAAAAGCTATTGTCAAAAATAAGCTGAGTTTAATGCCCTGAGTTTCTTTTTTCACACTCTCTTTGGATCTGTCATCAGTTTTTTTTCTGGTTTTTTCCTCCAGGCTTATAAACAAGACAATAAAAGTCAAAAGATTATTTGCTATAAAACAAATTACTGCTAAAAATAGATGTAATGCTGGATTGTGTATAAAAAAAACCCCAAAATTTAAAAAAAAAAGGGTGGAGCAAAAACAGTAAGCCATTAACACATCAAATCTAGGCTAGGTGTGAATGGGGAAGAAATTTGCCTTCATAGTGGGTTGTGCCCCATAAGTCTGACCCATCAATGGCCCCTTGTTAAGTCTAATAGGACACAAAGGCTCCATCAAACCAGGCGCCGCTGATGCCTCTAATGAAAAGGCAACTAACAGCACTTCAAAGCCATTCACTACTTGAGTACATTAGCCAACTCTTACAGCAGAAAGACAGACTTAATTCTCGGAATAAAACACCTTCATCTGAATTAAGGTGTCGGTGGGATAAGGACCTAACCATTTTATACTTAACTGCCTAATAAGGGTAAATAATTATAGGGCACCGTGCCATAAATAACCACTAATAAGACCTCACTATCAAAAATCTGTAAAGAACTAATGATGATAAATAGCCTGAGAGAAAAGCAGAAAAAGTTAAACAGAGTTAGTTGGTACCAACCAAATCCTAATAACAGGTTCTTTTTTTATTAGCACCAACACATTTATTTACTCTACGTGTGACTGTGACTGGAGCGCTGAGCAATCAGTAAATTAGTAGCTAGGTGATCTGCATATCATTAATACACTTCTCTTTTTAGGGGCAGTGTTTTGCCAGTCCGCTCTACTTTTTTTATTTATTTATTTAAAAACCCTCTGTGCAACCAGAGAGCATGAAACCGTTTGTGGGGAGATGAGTTTTGGCTGCTCTCTCCATTATCATTTATCTGTTGTACAGAAGACATTTATTGCTCAGGCACACAGGCCAAGAGACCAATCAATAATATCCTGTGATTGCAGACTGGTCCTGACCAGTTGGTGAGTGACTGCTGGCTGTCGCTGGGTGAAACTGGTTGAAAAGCAGGAAGCAAGAATATGGTATCACAATAGAAGTGCAGTTGAGGGCTGTTGTGGTTGTGACTGGTAATTTAGGGCAGAAGTAAATATCAGAAACCCCTCTCAATTGAACACAAAATTTAACAAGAATACCAATCACAGTCTCTTCTACAAGATTGCTTCCATTACCTAGCTAGTTTGGTTTGACCCAGTAAACTTCAAAGTGGGTATAGGCTTCTGAAAAGTTTCATGACCTTGAATGTTTTCCACTCACCCTCAGGAGGACTCTTGTTCTGGTTATTCCACACCACCAGCAGTTTAGCTAAGCTAGGCACCTTGGAGATTTCCGTGATGACCCGGAAAAGACTCTCAACACGATCGTAGGTTAGCACCACTGCTGTGAATCCAGGAGCCCTCGGTGGGATGAGTGGTAAGAACAGGGGGCTGTTTACACTGGACCACTTCTGTACAAGAAAGGCGACAAAGAAAGACATAAGCTTTTAATGCCTGGAGCATCTTTTTCAATTCTTTATCATTCACTCTTTTTGTCCTTTCCAAGCAAAGCCACTGTAGCGCTAGTCTCATGAATTCTGTGTCAAACCAGTCTGTCATGGTTTCCATGATTGAATGCCCAATAACAGGGCTTTAGTGGTGAGTGAGGTCACTTTTTATAATGGAGCAAGAATCGTCCAACAGTGTGTCAAAGGGCCTAGCAGAGGCTGAGTATTTAAAGCCAAAAGCTTCCAGTGACAGTGCCAAGTAAACCCTACAGAAGCAGTAGCACAGAAGGACAAGAAAGGAGTTGGAAATTGAGACAGGTGTCCAACCTCTCGTGCATACTAATCTTGTGATGCTATTGTGACAAGTGAGACTAAGGTAGGAAAATGTAGGAGAAAGTGGGCTGGACAGGGAGGACGGGATGGGATGGAACAGTCATAAAAATGAAAAGAATTTCCCAGTTGCGAGTAGCGGCCATCTAAAGTCAGTGTGGAACGTAATCCTGGATGTAAATCCGTTAGTTAGATTAAAAAAAACAAACTCACCTCCAAAAGAAATTGTGATGGTGTGCACAAAGTAAATAAGAACAGAATGCAGTCCTCAGTAAACTGCTTAAAACTATTTCTAAAAGTACAAATACAATACATGGAGTGGGATTATCATTTAAATCTATGCTCCTTTTGAACTTACTGAAACCAGTCTCAAAAAACAAGTTGTTTCTAAAGGGTGTTTTTATAGGGGAAATAAAACCAAACCATATCTTCCACTTAACAAGCGTGCGCTACTGCCAAATATAAGAATATAAGACCTTCAGGGCACCCTTGATAAACTTCATCAAAAGCTCCAAAAAAAGTTCCACTGTGTTTGAGCACAGCAAAGAGAGCGCATCTAACACAGTAAATCTGTGGTCTGTTTGAAGTACATATAAACCCCGTTTCTTCTCTGGTCCCAGGTGGCCACAGTGTGATTATGTGGCTGCTTCCACAGCATCAACACAAGTCTGTCAACAGAGACACGGCCACTGCCTTTTACACAACATCACTCACTCCATCACAATTAGAGAAAAAAAAAAAAAAGCACTTTACTGGCAAGTGGAAACTTCACTGTGGTCGTTGTCACATTGTCAAATAAAAAGAGGGGGAAACAATTAAACTAACACATATAGGCAGCACAGTTGCATGAAAACAGACTAAAAGACACTGAGAGCAGTTTAGTCATTTGTCAAACAGAAAAGATTCGATAAAAGAAAGCCACAGCTCGAATATCAACCATCAAATAGTGGTAGGAGTCATTTTGCTTTTATACTAAACATTTAAACTAAGAAGAAGAATTTTATTTGGTTGTTTGAACTGCTTAGGTGGTTATTCTCTAATCTTAGACATCAGGACATCTGAGAACTGCTACACAACTTCTGTTAGCATGTCATTACTTGAGTTACTTGTAGCATTTTTTTCTCATCCAAGGAATTTAATCATTTTCTGATGGGCCCAAAACTGTATTTTTAAATATTTAACTTCTCTTTATACACACGTGATGGACTTGTTGATTATTTACACACTGGTTCAACCATTTAAAAAGTCCTAGGAATCCTTCTGAGGCACTACTTCGTGCATTCATGTCAGTTTTTAACTAAAGCATTGTTAGTATTAGATCTTAGTGTCCTCATTGTCATCGAGCTGTGTTGCCATGTACTGCATTACACTGTGGGTTAGGGCTGGGTCATATCATACCATTCACGGTAATACCGGTATAATGTTGGGCAACAATAAGAAAAGGAAATATCGCGATAGAATTTGGGTAAAACGTGCATGCGCAGTGCCTTTGTTTACATACGCACATGGCCGTGATGGAGAATGAGAAGGGTGAAAGCGGATCGTTGAATGAAACTGATGAATCAGAACTGGTTTGTAAAAATGCTGCAACTTCAGTGGTGTGGAACTGGTTTAGCTTTCATCCATCAGATACACAACAAAGCAGTATTTTTGGTAGAGCATGTAAAGTATTTTGTCTAGTGTCAATTATATCACCAGTTATATCGTTATTGCAAATTTTCAAATGTATATCATGATAAATATTTTTGGTCATATCGCCCTGCTCTACTGTGGGATATTTAAGATGGTGTATTGACCGGTGACCAGATACTTAAACTTTCTCCCAAGAATAGCATGCACTTCATGTACTACTCAGTTAACTTATAAAAAACAAAACCTTACTTTAGCATATAAAATACTTTTCAATGACATTTCACACACAGCCTTCAGTATGTCGTTCAAAGTCAGCACTTTGACCTCATAGCAGTTCTTTTCTTTCATATTTAACTTTTTTTTAAAGAAGTAATGCCCAAATACTCAAAGATTGTACTCTAACTTTAAGAAAAAACAAGAAAAAGACTTTCCTATGCCCAGGTCCCAATCACCACAAAAACCTAAACTGTGGCAAATTATAAAGTCTGAGATGCCTCAGTTCTTGTAATGTAAAAACCTTACAAGTATGCCCCCTTCCTACAAATCCCAAACAAAAAGCAGCTTGTCCCTTATTCTGAAACCCCCTCTCCAAAGGCACCAGCAGTCCTGGGCAATGTGCTTTCAATTACCACCAAAAGACTAGGGGAGGAGAGGGGGAAAATGTCTGCCTGATGTATTTAGTGCTGTGTGCAAGTTCTCCTCACCATCCATTCACAGAATTCATACAGACAACACTTTATCTCCCATTTCAGGCAGGTTAATCTAAAGACCTGTCCTGTGACACCGTCAACACCCTCTGGGTTGGGACAAACTTTGAGACCAGAGTAATTCTGATGGGATGGACTGGTGGCTTAGATGTTAATACGAAACATTTTGACACAAGAGGCAAATGTCAAGTGAAGCTGTTTTGTGAAGCGAGCTGGTTTAGAGTGAAGTCGTGGTTGAGAGTGAACAGCTGGATAACCAGTTCATCCTGAAATACTATACGGACTTAAGCAGAACTGGAAAGGGAGTCCCCCCCACCAAAAAACCCCCTCAAAGTGTTGACTGTTTACATCCACGCATCCTGATTGCAAGTGCCACCTCTAATCTTGGCATTTTAGTGGATCTACTTAAAATGTGGTACTTGTAGACATCTGACAGATCCAAGGCCATTATTATGCATCTACACACAAGCTGACATGCACACGCCTCTACACCACAGGCGGAGGATGGAGGAGACTCTAGATCAGACCGAGCTGATTAACAACTCCTGAGAGATGGTCGCCCCAGCCAAGATGTCGGCAGCCACAAACTCTTATAACCACAGGGATGCTAAGCACACACATGCACACACACAGAGACCATTCTTTCACATCCAGCGTTCTCGCTACAAACACAATGACTCAGGCGTACGGGAACTTAGTTTTCACCACAATGGAGGCATCCTCTGAGCGCAGAACTGCTGACACAAACTGGCTCCCTCAAAGCTATCTGGGTGTATACCAAACTGTGAAGCGCTGCATCTGTGGTATTTCAGAAAGAGGGAAGGCATCTACTGTCACTCTACTAAAGAGGCTTTGATTTATAAGGCACAGGAGAGTGGGAAAGCTTATGTGGTACTGTGAGCGTGTGTACAGCCAAAGCTCTATTTTGGACGAGTGTCACTCAGATGTCTTCAACAACAACAAAAAAAAAAAACTTCTAGGAATACAACTGAGCAGCTCAGCACATAATAGCCAAGGACTTTATAGGTTATACAGATGTTTGCTGCAAAAGAAATGAAAAAAAAAAAAAAAAAAGCAACAGCACAAAACTAAAAGATAATAATAGAACATTAAATAACCTGTTTGGTGACTAAAAGTTACAAACATTTGCAATATGCATGTCAATGTCAAGTGTAGACAGTTACATACCACCACAGGTGGATTGTTCCACTGCTCATAAGTACGCGCAGCATATGGGTAGATGCGATCGTTGATGATCTGGAGAGTTGTCAAGCCAATAGCCTTCATGGAGCTGAAGTAGGCCTCCCAGAACCAGCGTGCCTGTAGACAAATGACACAAAACTACTTAAAACTGGAAACAGGCAAGCCAGAGTAAAAACACGACATGCCTAGGGTCAGTGCATTCACATTCAGTGTTACGTATATTCTTTCGTCTCATGTAGCTCAGGAGGTAGAGCAGGTCATCTACTAAACAGAAGGTCAATGGCTTGATCCCTGGATGATCCAGTCTACATTCCAAAGTATCCTTGGACAAGATACTAAACCCAAGATGTTCGCCGATGCTTTCATTGGAAAATTAATGTTTGATAGAACGCACTCAGATGTAATAAAGACGTGCTTTTATGAGGAGGTGAATGAGAAAGCATTCTGAATGCTCAACTAGAACAGAAAAGCACTATCCAAGAACCAGTGCATTTAACTTTAGCAACATATCTTACGTAAATATTATTTAAAAAAATGCTGCAAATAGATATAAGATAAATCAGTGCATATAAAAAAATATATATATTTTCACAGCAGAACTGTAAATCTAGAACTACTAACTTTAAGATAAATATGTTATTTCACTGGCCACATGAAATGATATTATGTCCTCCAAAAAATTTTTTTTATTCTCATATTAACCTACAGAGTGGAGCAGTTATAAAAAAATAACACCAGAGTGTTGTCATAACTATAAAATCCAGATATTCCCTGGCCCACATCTTTGAAGACAATTTTGCAGCCCTCTCCAACGTCTTTGTCCTTCAACGACTCTTCTTTTGAAGCCCAATGAAATCTCTTTTGACTGCGTCTGTTTTCCTTCAACACATCTCTGCTTTGACTTTATGATAAGTGAACTCTTAACCCATATCTTAATGCTACAGCAACGGACTCTGGAATCTCCAAGTGCTCTCATTCACCATTGACTTCACATAGTTTTTGTGTTTTTGTCAATATTGGAAGCATGGAAGTCATCTATGTGTTAAATTTCTATAATCATGAAAATTGCTTCAAGATCCGACTGTTATGAAACTTCAAGGGACAGTGCCATGTTACACTTATATGACTCCACCCAATCTGAATTACTGATAGTTTTGGGGTGAAGGATGTAAATATCTTAGAGTCTGCCCTCCTAATGGATGCGTCCATGAGCATTACTGCATTTTGTGGATGCTCTATGTTAAACAAAGAGCTTGTTAACACATAACCATGAGACATTTCCCTAAATCGCCAATGTCGATGTCATGAGATGAAAGATTGGAGATGTAGAACAACAAAAAGAGACTATATTTTTACAGAGGAGCTGAGGAGAATCCAAAAAGACTTTCTAATCTCAAGGGGGAATCCCAACGGTCCATAAATCAGCCAGTGATGAAAGTTTCTTTTCCGACCGGGAGGAGGCAAAAAGCAAACTGTGCTGGCCTGAGGGCCCATTCCCCTCCCCTCCACCCTCTCCCAGCGCCTGGAGGAATTTTTATGAGCAGGGAAGAACAGACATCATTGCAAGAGAGAAGAGAAACCCTTTCTACGTCTTCCAACTGGAGCAGTAACCGTGCAGCAAGTCTATAGTCTATACTTGGTCCCTGTTGGTTCTACTGCTTAAAACAAAAAGTACAGCAGTACAAATACGTCCAACCAAATAATCCATAAGCTGAACAAAAATTACTTCTCCAATCATTTTTTTTAAAAATACTGGTGTAATGTAAATTTTAACTATGAGGCCGCTGCAAATGGTGAAAAATAATTCATGTATGATGTAACAGTAATCTGATGTAATGGCTGGTTTAAAATACTCCCCAGCAGCTCCTGCTTTTTTGTTGTTTATAATCATTAAAATGTCAAAGCAGTGCACAATAACAGTTAAGCTGACGGTATTCTGCATGGCTTTGTTTAAATCAGCTGTAGCTCTCAAGTGCCTGACACATGAATTAACCTGTAAACCAGAATTGGCAGTCACTGAGTTGTGTACAGACATAGGCAGTCATTAGTGTTTTTGATATAATCAAAAACAGCAGTGAAACCTGAAGTCTGTTCAAATCACGCTTACCGGGAAAACCTTTCCATTCCAGTTTCATCAGCAGGTTTGTGTGGCTCCAAAACATTTTGTAGTGTAACAAAGAAGCACACAATGCGGTGATTCCCATTTTCCTTTGTTTAACCTGTGTTTTCATGTTTTATTTAACCTTAAACTGCGAAGTTTATATAACTCCTGGGTTTGTGTTTAGGAAAGAAAACAGGAATCTGTTGGAGCACCTCAGCTGAGATTAAATTTGCAACTCAATTGGTAAAATTAACAACCTGCTACTAAATTTAATGGGCAACAAATAAATGACCAAAAAAAGCCAGTGAAGCCACTGTCATTGTTCTGACTGCTCAGTTCTGAATGAAGGCTTGCATGTAAGAAGAAGACTACAGGAATACCTATACAGTGAGACTATTGCAAGTTGGGACAATAGGCAGGGTCAGCAAACTAGAAACAGTCTAAGGAAAAGATGAGGAGTAAGTTTAACTTAAACTCACTGGCAGTAACTCCCTCCATCTCTCTTATGTATTCTAATTTAATGACAGAATTGATTTATTTGATCTATGTGTCCTATTTTGAGGGTATGACCCAAAGAAAACAACGGGAGTAAATACACAAACACTGGCTCTGGAGTGGCCTCAATTGAGCACTGTTAACATCTCACAGCTGTTTAGTATGTGGCCTTTTTAAATGTGACCTAATTTGATGCAATTACATCATCTCAAATTTGAAAATGAGTTCTGCAGCTTCAACCAAGTCCGCTGGCTACTAATAGAGGCTCAACAGTATTAACAGTATAAACAAAAGTAGCTTATCTTAGTCCGATTTGTTTTCTCATCAAATCTCCCTCTTTCCCGATTTCCTTTCTTGTTTGGAAACCCCACCCCACGCAATATGACAATTACTACAAATCACGCCACCTAAGATTTACACACTCTGAAATCAAGGGTTGCTGAGCCCTCTGCTGGCAGATCTAACAAAATACATTATCTCAAAAGTTTAAATGGACCCACTGAGTTTTCCCTTTACAACAATGAAAGTTTATATTAAACAGCACCTAAGTTCCACATATCGAGGTCAGTGTATGTTTAATTAACCTATGAACCTTTCTAACTTCAAACTGGTTGCTTGTTGTCAGACCAAGTTTTAGTTAACTTTTAGCTTTGTATGATGTCAACAAGCGAGGACATCCTTCATATCTCTGGCTGTCACTTCAGAAATCTCACTCATCTGCTTTTCTTCCTGTTTGGGAGGAGGGACCAATCAGAAGGAAGTAGGATTAAAATCAGGGTGATCCTAAAGGGAGAGGAACTAATATGTCTGGATAGCAGATTAACTGAAGGGCTGCAACAAAGCCCAGTTTAGGGTACATGAACTTATTTTGAACTGCAGTAGAGCTCACAATAAAAGTATGGAGCTGGAAATCAGCGCAACAGGTCCCTTTCAAGCTCTGTTATACATGTGCTTTAAAAAAAAAATCAGCATGAACTTTACTCTATGGTTTATGTAGAACAATGTCCAGTACTCTTATTTGGGAATAATCTGGATAATCGTACATTAAGCAAAAGTGCCCCAGTGACCTATAATAAAAGTTCACATCCTTGTTAATTTTGGCACTTAGCCACTGTGGCTGTGAATGCTAATACATCTCAAAACTATGATGTTCCCATTCTGATAAATAAGGTTTGTGTTTTTAGTTGTTGTTTTTTTAACATGGGAATGTACCATGGTGCACTTAACAAATACAAACAGAAGGATATTAGAAACATGCTTTATCTAGCATTTTTCCTGAACATTAAAGTAAAATTCTGTCTTAAAATGACTTCTTTCAGTCTGATAAATGATCTAAATCATGATAAAAAAGAATTTGGTAAGAGAAATGTATCAGAAAAAAAACCCTCAAGTGGTGATCAGTTTGATCCATCTGTACACCATCAGAGAAGGCAAAAGAGTACTTCTGTGACCAGTGAATAAAAAATATCAGATGCTTCCATGGTAGCTGTGAGATGTCCACAGCATAGTACCACACCCCCGAGAAAAACCTAGCAACCTGACAAGCAAACCATGTTTTAGAGTATATCTGGCGTAATCCAACACCAACCCCATCTTTGAGCCCTTGGCCTAAAACGCCTGTTTGGCCAGTATAATTGGTAAATGGACTTGGGTTGATACAAGTGAATGAGGAGCAGCTGAACTGGTGCACCTCTCTCGTGGCTGCTTTCACTTTTGTTTATTGTGGCTCAATGCACATAGCAAATGGAAAGCGAATGAGCCGTCTCTGTCCATTTCATTCAAGCTAGAATCAACATAAAGTCCTCAGAGAGCCTTTTAAAAATCTAGCCTAAGCAAAGAAGGAAACTCACAAAAAGGAAGACTGCCAGCCAAATTTCTGTCTTTTGCACATGACATAAAATTTGTTTTGGTTTTCAAGGGCTTGATTGGTTGGCCGGCTGGTTAAGGACCAGGTTCATCTCAGACATGACATGCAAGTGCTGTAAAACCCAGCGACTAGCATGTCAATCCGACATGGTGGATATCTGATTGACATCTAAATGTATGGTGCAAACCAAATATAAACTGCAACCAAATGTTCTTTAGTTTTGCAGAAGTTTGCTGAGAGATGTTAAACACTGTCTTGTACCTGTCTCTGCATTTCTTCAACCTGTCGGTGAGGGATACTCTTCAGGATTGTGTACATCTCTGACAGCTTCTCCTCAGGAATAACAACAGATGCCCTGTGCAGAAACAAAAGCATTAAATATGACAGGCTTTCAAACGATTTATTTTTCCACTGTATTAAGATGTAGGGCAGACCTTTTCCAGTCAAGTACTTCAGAGAACGGCAGAATGTAGGAGTCAGCCAGAGTGACGGGAACACAGCCAGCCTGTAGCACATCACTGAGGGCAGCCTGACCCAATCGTGCCCCCCTCAAGACCACACAGAATGACGACTCCTGCAGAGAAATGTTGGGAACAAACTATTAATTACAAGGAAAAAACTTTAACTGCATTCTGAACATGAATAAATTAAATAGATTTTAAATGAGTGCACTTAACGAGAAAAATATGACTCTTTGAGTGCAGATTGTTATGTTTCCCACCTGCAGGATCTGTGGGTAGTCGTACACCTGCCCTTTGTAGCATCGTTTTCGTGCAGAGGCAGCACCCTGAGAGAGGTTGCTACACTTGTCCAGAAGAAGGAGGGCTTCTCCATTTTCTTCCTTCAATCGCTCCAGTTCAGCTCTGTACTCTCGGTGAATAGCAGTTTGTGAAGAAAGAATAAAGTAGTGCCGAGGCCTGGGTGGAGTCAGAAGATATGGAAACCAGTTATTAGAGAAGATAAATTAGGAAATGATTTTAATTTAGTCAATGTGTGACATGTGTTTACCCAGGTTGTCTCTCAGGCAGGTCAACATCTGCAGAAAGGGGGCTATAAACTGGAATGCTCACATCATAACCTTGTCTGTAGGTCCATGTAGAAAAACCACCTCCAGCCAGCAATGCTCTGAAACAAACAGATCTGGGTTGTAGCAATGTTTCCAGAAAAGAGGAACCATAACACGCTCAACACAAATTCACTCATTCAAATTTACATTTTGTTAACAGCAATGCCGATTTGCTTGTGGTTATATTCTTAAACAGTTCCCAATGATATGGATTCTGTACTAAGTTCGTGGTTTCACTTTTCTATAAAGTGAAACCATGCTGACATGCACACCTGGTTCTGATGAGGCTCCATGCCAAATACACTGTGGATGAGCACAGGAAATTCCTTACAGCTAAGATAGTGTTCAGTGTCTCAAACGTGGTAATAAACCAAATTTGGCCCGCAGCCTACTTACATTTGGCCCGCGAAGCCATACCAAATTACTATCAGAGCTGTAATTTGTATTATACAGCTATATATTAGCTGTATAATACAGCTAATATATATATATATATTGTTTAGTATTAAGCTTTGCTTGTTTCATATTCAGTTTTTCAGCAAAACGTGTTTGAGTCCATAAGAAAAGATTCATTGTTATATCTGGAGGAATAAATATATTTCAATAAATATTAACGTTAGCCCGCGACTTTGTTCCAGTTTTGAATTTTGGCCCACTGTGTATTTGAGTTTGACACCCCTGCCTTAAAGGGTCTGGAAAACATGTTCTCTCTTACCTGCTTGTAAGTAGATCTTTCATCTGCATCAAAATATCACTCTTAACAATTTGTGAATGACTGCAGTTTTGATAAATACTTGTTTGAACTTTGATAATTTCTGCACAAAAACTGATTAACATTGTTTTCTAGTTGAATGCATTTTTACCTCCAAGCAGGAGGCTGTTGGACAACATAAAAGCTTATTTATCATATTTCTAGACAGCTTTTAAGCTGTACCAGTACAACCTCAGCTGATGAGGATTAATTAATGGAATTAATGAACAAAGACTATGGAAGTCTCAAAGCTTTGATCTAAATATGAGCATCTCGTTTACTATTATCAGTCATTAATATAATCAGTTCCATTGCTAGGGATGGGTATCGAGAACCGGTTCGCACTGTTTCAATTCCTTGGAATTGTTTGCCATTTTTGCAAACGATTCCCTTATCGATTCCAGTCGCCCCGAATGACGTCACCACATTGCGGAGCGTCATTTACCTGGCAGGAAACACGGCGCCTAAGCGGCTCAAACGCTCAAAAGTTTGATTATACTTTACGAGAACGGATGACAACAGGGCAACTTGCAATACTTGCAAAGTAGATATTTCATTTAAGGGAGGAAACACTACGAATATGCAAAAGCATTTGCTCACAAAACACACGATGACCTTAAATGAATGTCGTGTTTTTAATTCCGCTCCGGACTCGTGAATCTCAACCCAGCAGCAGCATTAACGTTTGCACGTCCTCTCCCGTTAATGCGGCAGGTAAATAATCAACTAACAGTGCATATTTTGTTTGCGCGATCTGCCTTATTACAAAACCTGCCATTACTGTGCATTTAGGTGACCATGATGAGAGAGAGAGTCTGGCTCAGATGCTGGCAGTTCTTGCTGCAGTCCACCGGTAGCGTCTCCTTTCAGGCCAGGATAGACGAATGTCACCGAGCAGTGACTAAATTTGTGGTCAAAGGCTTGCACCCATTTGCCACAGCAGATGCCCCCGATGTTTGGTAAGAGAATGTGTTTAATTGTAGGCAGGGACATTACAGGATATTCTTGTGTAATTGCTACTGAATAATTTATGTTATACTTTGTTATTGCTACAGAAGAATATTTATTTTATTATTTTACATTTACAATTTTTTTTCCTGGGGACCCTGTGACACCCCATTGAAGAGCCGTAAGCTGTGGATCGCTTAAGATCTCACTGTTAGGTTTGTAAGGCCATGTTACTCCTAAATTTCTGTCTTGTTCAAAGAGAAGATATAAAACAAAGTTCTAAGCTATTCGCTGTTCTCCTTTTTAAAAAAGAATCGATAAGAGAATCGATAAAAAAATCGAATCGTTAAACAGAATCGAAAATGGAATCTGAATCGTGAAAATCGTATCAATACCCATCCCTATCCATTGCATTAGTTAAACATACAATACTACGATGCTGTAAATTCAAATCATGTTTTTTTTTTTTTATTTCTCAGTGACTTCAATCACAGCAAAGTAATTATGTTAAGATGTGTTCCATTTACCTGTCTCTGGGCACATCCAAGGCAGTGTTGTAGTCAGGAGGGCCTCCAGGTAACATGTTGAAAAGCAGATGATTCATCCCTTTGTCCCATCTAACAAAACATCATCATCAAGATCAGAGCTGTAACAACTTCTCACTTTGAAGATTATTTGAACAATGGAAAACTGACTGAAGTTTTTCTAATTACCTGAATAAATAACTGCTCATTTTAAAAAGAAAAGCCTTATTTGACTTTAAGCTGTTACCATTTAGTAGTTTTAAGAAGTTCAAAATTTATCAATGTATTATTTGGTATCAAAAAATACTGGTTAAACAGAATATTGCGCATATTTAAGAGACAATATGTGAATCTTTTACAGATTAAAAACTACCAAAACAGTTAAACTCCAATACATGTTTAAAATCAGAGGCATCACAACAGAGACCTATTGTGATGAAATAAGGCTGAAATTAAATCTATTATAGTATTTTACAGCAGTACAAAGTATAACTTTGGGAGGGAAGGGGATTTTTGAGACCTTAATTTTGGGGAAAGTCAGCAATTTAAACATTTTTTTTTAATCAATTTTGATTTGTTATTCCACACGTGGAGTTTTGGTGTCCTGATCACCACTGAAACTGCAGTAATGTAAATTTAGACAATATTTCAAAGTAATTACCAGGAGGCGTTTCAGACTTTTTTTGAGGACCTGAATTAAAATAAAAACCGAGTACCTGGGTAACATTGCCAGAGCCTGGGCTGTCTCTCTTATACGGAGGGAGTTCTGATTTAGTACATCAATAGATGGAATGAAAAGGCAAGCCCTTGTAACATCGTCTGTGTAAAAGTCACTGTCAGAGATGGCACTAAGCAGATCATTGTATTCTCGAGACAGGCCGGTGCTGCTGATGGGGACCCCCAATTCATCTACAAACCTCTGCAGAGGGTAGATATAAACCTGCAAGCACAATTTCAACAGTTGTTCGTGACTTCTACGTAAGAAAATTGAGTGTCTGTGTGTGGGGAGTGTTTCCAGGTAGCATTACCTTGATTCTATTCTTAGGGTTGTAGCCACACCTGTATACATCAAAGCAGGTGTGCATGCGACAGCTCAGGTCACCCCTCTCAGGTATGGGACTGGAGACGGGAAGTCTGATCAGAGGTGCGTCGTGAACACTGCGCTTGTCGAGGGTCCAATCAGCTGTGGACTCAATGGAGTGCGGCCAAAACTGAAACATCCCTGTGGCGATTAGTCCAAGCAGCACCACAGAAAACAGGGTGATGTAGTAGATGCGGTGCTTGGTTTTCATCCGAGGGATGAGAGCAGGGCCCCGCGAGCTGTATTTCCCAGAGGTATACATGTCTGACACCTCTTCGTTAACCAGCCGCTGTAAACACAGGTTTCGGATCAATGGCAACTCCAGGAAGTGTTCAGACAACACGAAGCACACTAGGCATCAGTTTAAAAACCAGTCTTCTGTCGCGTGATTGGCAAAAATCACTAGTTTATATGCCGATTTCAATGCATTTGCTGCCAATGACTCGAAGCTAGATAACGGGAATGTTACCACTATCAGGGTGATGCCACCAAACCACAATGTCCATGATAGCAACCATAACATAAAAAGCGAGTGAGAGAGAAAAGGTCGTTAAACAAACGCCAAATTTGCAGAAATTAGCTAAGAAACTATCTTTCCTAACAGCAGCTAACGTAACCCACTAGTAAGCTACACTAGCTCTGTAAACATTCATGCTAACCGAGTTTACTACCATTAATAGGTGTTTCAGCCATTAGAAACCGACCAGAAAAGGAGTAAATGCCTAACAATAAACGTATATGCTCTACCTACCGAGATGTCGTTAGTCGGAGAGGGGAGTTTGGTCTTAAATCATGGCAACATTTAGAGAACAGACTGCACATATGCATACAGTGCTAACCTAGCTTTGAGCTAGCAGCTAACACCCCTAGGTAATCTTTCCGTGACTTGCGGAAGTTCTTCTTCTTCTTTGCTTCCTCAGAGTACCCAGAAGAGACGTGCTTTGCTTCTCTCTGGCGGAATTGGAAGTATAAGAACACATTTTACTAATATCAAAGGTTGAGACCTCTGATATTATTTAAGAAAATAATAATAATGATGATAGTTTAAAAAAAACAAAGTCAATTCAAAATTTACTACCATGTGCTTTCACTGGCCCCTTATAGTGAGTGCTCAGATTTCATGCTTAACAAACTAACAAAATAAAACTGCACAACAAAATTTAATAGAATTTTTTTAATTGGTTGAAAAACGTTCTTGCTGCTAGTGCGTTAAAATATGTTAAATCTTATCTATAATTTTAGCCAGAAACATATGAAGATTAGTCCCACTTTACCTGACGGAATTAAAGTGGGATAAATAATAATAATAATAAAAAAAGCCAAGTTAATGAATTAAGAAGCTAAAAACAGCAATGGTTTGTTATTTTTGTCATGGCAAATTACACAAATACATATAACTATGTAGAAATATGGAAGATTTGGCATGCTTTAGGTTAATTAATGTAGAAGTGGATAAAAAGCAGATAAAAAAAGGAAGGGTGATTGGTATAGATGAAAAACCCATGGAAGTATGGAGATGTTAGGAAAAAAGTGAGTGGACTTTTTTAACACAGTCTTGAGTGACAGGATCCCTGAGGAATGGAGAAGTGTACTGATAATGATTTTTCTAGAACAAAGGTGATAGCTTAATGTTGAAAAAGGGTATGAGGGGTGGCAGAAGGATAGCAGAAAGAGTGAGAGCGAAGGCTTACAAGATGATAGTGAGACCTGCTGTATGGTTTTTTAGACAGTAACACTGAGAAAAAGACACGAAGTGGAGCTAGCAGTGAGTGACCAGGATGGACACAGTTAGAAATGGGTACAAAGTTAGAGAGACACGACTGAGATGGTTTGGACATGTGCAGTGGAGGGATAATAAATATACCGGGCAATGGATGTTGAATATGGAGCTGCTAGACAGGAGGAAAAGAAGAAGACCACAGAGAGGATTGATAGATGTAGTGAAGGACATACAGATCATTGGTGTGACAGAGGAAGATGAAGGGATAGGGTGAAGGGCAAATTGAAAAAGGAAGGAAAATAAATAAGTAGGCATTGCTTTGTTTGCTCACATATAAGTTTTCATTTGTGTTAACAAAAACTTCCACAGTTAAGTCAGAAAAATAAATGTAATCAAAGTGAAAACTGAAGATGTTTTATTTAAATTGGTTGAAAATATTTTGAAGAATTAGATTTTACAGCTTAAAACAGTCGACTTGCTGTAAGTAGAAGCATTTCCATTGGTAAGCCAACTACTTTTGTCTTTGGCTAATGATGCAAGAACTAGTCATGGTCTTTTTGCCTGTCAGTACAGTTTTTCCCTCTGCCTCATATCCGTACTGATACTCTGAAACACCTCCTCAGTACTGGGTCTATTCCAGTACCCGCAACTGTGGTGAACACTTAAGTGTGTGAGCCTACAGGTAGTGTGTCACAGTCTGGAAAAGTGCCAGAATACTGTATAATAAACCCACACTTCAGCACAAGTGGGTATTGTGGAAATTATCAGAAATGTCTCACACAAGCAGGCACTCTACTACTCACAAATACAGCTAGTGTGTGCATGGGATTTCCTCTTTTCTCTGCTTTTCACTTTAGATTAGGCAATATTCAGACAAATAAGGAACCCACAGTTCACACTGGCCACTTTGTTAGGTACACCTTTTTAATAGCTTGTTAAGGCCAATATCAAATAAATCAATCACATGGCAGATGCTCAGTGCATTTAGACATACAGACATGGTCAAGATGACCAGCTGACGTTAAAACTGAGTATCAGAATGAAGAAGGAGGATGATTTAAGAGATTCTGAACATGGCGTGGTTGTTGGTACCAGATGGACTGGTTTGAGTATTTCAGAAACGCTGGTCTATCACATCCCCCAACCATCTGTACAGTGTTGTGAGAGAAGTCAGAAATAAAAGAATATATACAGTAATAAGGTGACGATGACTTGTTGATGCTGGCGGTCAAAGAAGAAAGGTCAGACTGCTTTGAGATGATAGGAAGCCAATATTATTTCAAATAACCGCTTGTTGTAACCAAGGTATGCAGAAGAGCATCTCTGAATACTCAACATGTTGAACCTTGAAGCAGACGGGCTTAATCGTAATTTCTGGGGTAGCATTCAGATTGAAATTTGCAGCTGCCCACATGGACAAGTCAAATGGCTTCTGGAGAAAAATATGAGACAAAGATTGAGCTATTTGGCCTAGGGCTGAACGATTATGGAAAATAATCTAATTGCGATTTTTTGCCCCAATATTGCAATGCGATTATTTTTTAAGGTCTTTGTCTTCTGTATTATTAAACAAAGACAAGCAATACATCATATAGTATGGCCAATACTATATTACATTAATTTTAAACTGTTCTTTCCTGGAAGACAGACCTCTGTTATGATGACATGAGGTGATGCATGAATTGATGACTGACATTTTTATTTAACTTCTTCAATCACAACAGTATATTTGAACATACACAATAGTTTATTTTTAGCTTACAAACATCTGAGCATAAAGTGCTGACAAGGAACCCTGGTGTAAACATTAAAATGAAAGTCAGTACAATGTGCAGATTGCAGAAATATACATAAACAAAATCAGTGGCTTTACCACACTCAGTTTTTCGACATCTGTGAACTACTAGACAGTCATTCAATTAAAAAATAATTTTAAATAAATAAAACTAATAAATAAAAAAATACACACATCTTACTGATCTCTGCAGTCAGTAACATTACACATAAAGTGCAAACATAATAGCAATTGTATAAACACACACACAAACACGCCTTTAAAATTTAAAGGCGTGAAATTGGACGGTCTAGCCTTCTGATTAGCGTCACCGCTGTCTCGGTGGAGTTTAATAAACTCGGCCGTCTGCTTCTTGCTATCTAAAATATAACCAGACACTGGCGTAAATTCTCGACTGTCTCATACTTCTGTTTAATAAGTTTTCTGTTTGACGTTTAGTCAGCTGTGTGAAAACCAAGGAGGAACCCACCCGGGGGATTAATAAAGTTTTATTTTATCTAATCTAATAACTTTAATCTCAGCCAAACCGATTTACTCACGAACAAACAAAACACTGAAAAAAGCCCAACAATAACATTTTTAGGTTGTCTAAGTGACTTATATATTACGTTTAACCCGAGCAGCGAAACTCCGCGGTGATCTGAAAATGATGTGCCGGGAGTTGTGCCGTTCTCGGCCGCATCAGTAACCCTCGAGCTCCCGGCTAGCTGTCGAGCTGGTGGGTAGCAGACGCCTCTGAAAACGTCGAAGCACTTTTGCAAATATGGGATATCTTGATAAACCGAGCAGATATTTGATGTTTACACAACTACTTTCTCGCCTGAAAATATGTTAAAAGTTTATTTTGTGACCCTGAAAGATTAGTATGAGTAATTTTAAAACTCAGTAGCGGCCGCCATTGCTGGAAACTGGAGTTTGGCTGGGCCGCGCTATGAATTCTGGGATATGGTAGTAATTTGGACAGCTTTCGGCGCGTCGCTGTGACGTAATCGGTCTACAAATGCGGCCTCAGGAGGATGCAGCCCATGAATTTGGACATGTCCAGAGTATAATCGCAGCCTTTGCGGTTAGAAAATTGCACTTGATCATGTCGCGATATTATCGCAAATGCGATATATCGTTCAGCCCTAAATTTTGGCCACAATAACAAAAAGTATGTTTAGAGGAATAAAGATGAGGCTTTCAAATTTAATAGGCAATAACTGCAACAACCTTCATGCATGGTGGTGGTAGTATTATGCTCTGGGGCTGTTTAGCTGAAGTGGTTTCATCACAAAGTTGATGAAATGACGAAGGGGGATAATTTCCAAATTCTTCAACTTTCGCTCAAAACAACAGTTAAACATCTGAAACTTGGATACTATTTTATTGTTTCAATGGGGACAATGATCCTAAACATCAACACTACTTTTGGAATAGATAAAGCAGACTAACATTAACCTTCCGGAATGACCTTCCCAAAGCTCCGACCTCAACCCTTTTGAAAATGTGTGGATTACATTTGAAAATATAACATTAAACCCACAAATTCTGCCATAAAAAGTTTTCAAAGATCCAACCAGAATTAAAGCTGCAAGCAGCGTTATGAGGGCCCTCGCACCCCCGGCGCGTCGAGCCACGGCCAACACCTAAAACCAGCACGTCCGATCTGATGTGACATTGATGGATTTCATGCATTTAACCACCAGCTAACATTTCATCTTATTCAACCAGGATTATAGTCGTCCCACTAGGTGGCGGTGTAACCATTATGTACAAATGGCATAACAAACATATCCGAGCTCGAGTCTAATCATGCCTACGACCTTTGGGAGAGATTGGACATTGTGTTTTCGAGTGACAGCAGATTACTGCTTTTTGGCGAGTGATTGAAACTCCACATGCCGCCATGACCACCCCGTTTCCTTGAACGTAAAAAGCTTCGCAATTTAACATCACAAAGGTCTTTAGATTCCACACACAGGAAACCGCATCAATCTGATGAAATCTCTTGGAGGAGTTCGTCAAAGAACGGTGCCTGAAAAGAGGGGAAAATGTCGCCAAAATTACACATTCATTTTAAAATGGCTGACTTCCTGTTGGATTTGGGATTTTGCTCCAAGAGACTTTTTTATACATCTTGATCTCTCCTATAAGCTTCCCAGATTTCAGACTCATACATAAAACACAGAGCAGGGGCTGATGATTTTGAAAGTTTGTAGGAGGCGTTGTGGAGCCATTTTGCGCTATTCAAGGAAGGTGATCACATAACAACAAAGCCTTCGTCCCATTGGAGGTGTGGGCCAAATTTCAAGACTTTTTAAACTTTTCAAGCCCCTCAAACGTCACTTCATTGTTCACGGTGAACCACGTTGTCACCAGGGTGCGGCGTTCAGTTTAAAGTCACAATTTTCCCACCGAAG